CCCCCCCCCGCCCGGCCGGGGCCCCCCCACCCCCGCCGCAGGCACCCCCAAACCCAACTGAGACCCCCAACCCCCCCCAAATCCCTTGGGATGCCTAAGGCCCCCAGCATCCCCAATCGCCCTGGGTACCCCCAAACTCCCCTGGATGCCCTCACCCCCCCGCAGATCCCCCAAACCCACCGGGCCTGGGTGCCTGGCACCCCTAGGGTACTCCCAACCCCCTGGGTACCCCCAGACCGCCTGGGCACCCCCTCCGCCCTCCCCAGCATCCCAGAGCACCCCAAACTCCCCCCAGCACCTCCCAGATATGCTCAGTGCCCTCCCCTGTGCACCCAGCACCCCCCCAGACCCCTCCCCAGCTCCCTCCAACGCTATTTTGTGCCGCGCCCTGACCCCCATCCTGAACCCCAGCACCCCGGGGACCCCGTCCCCCCTCACCTGGGCTCCTCGGGGGCGGTGGGTTCCAGCATGTCCCCCCCTTTGAGCAGCTTCAGGGCCACCTCCGCCGCTTTGTGCTTCGCCGCCTTCTTGCTGGGCCCCTGCCCTGGGGGAGACACCAGCTGAGCGGGGTGGGGGGCACCCAGGGCCCCCCCAGAGCCCCGGCTGTGCTTAGGGCTGCCACAGCCCCGGTGTCGGGATCCCGGGGGATCCCTCTGCCGTAATACCGGCAGTGGGGTGCCGGGGGTCCCCAGGTGTTCCAGGCGTCGGGGTCCTGGGTGATCCTTCACCAGGACCCACTTTTTTGGGGTCCCAGGGGACCTCCATGTGTCCCAGGCGTTGGGGTTCTGGGTGATCCCCCACCAGGACCCACTTTTGGGGATCCCAGGGAATCCCCATGGCACATCCCAGATGTTGGGGTCCCCAGGAGGATCCCTGTGTCACAGCACAGGCTTTGGGGTCCCAGGAGATCCCCGGGCATCCCAGGCATTGGGGTCCCAGATGATTCCCTACCACAACCCACTCTTTGTGGTCCCAAGGGATCCCTGAGTGTCCCAAGCACCACGATCCCAGCCCATCCCCCATTAGGACCCACTTTTTGGGGTCCCAAGGGATCCCTGATTGTCCCAGGCATTAGGATCCCAGGTGATCTCCCACCACAACCCACTTTTTGGGGTCCCAAGGGATCCCTGAGCATCCCAGGCATCAGGATCCCAGGCCATCCCCCATCAGGACCCACTTTTTTAGGGATCCTAGAGGATCCCACCACCACAACCCACTTTTTGGGGTCCCAAGGGATCCCTGAGCGTCCCAGGCATCAGGATCCCAGGCCATCCCCCGTCAGGACCCACTTTTTTAGGGATCCCAGGGGATCCCCCCACCACAGCCCACTTCTAGGGATCCCCCAGCACATCCCCACCACCTTGGGGACAATCCCCGTGTCCTCACTGTCCCCTCCACACCCCAGGTCACCCTCTCCAGGCACCCCGGGGGGGCAGGGTGAGAGGCGGGGACAGCCTGGAAGCGAAGGGTGTCGGGGACCCACCGGTGCAGCTGATGTCCCCGACGGTGACACGGAAGGTGAAGTTGGGCTGGTGGGCTTGTCCCTCGGCCTTCAGGAGGTCGTAGCCGGGGGTCTTGCCTATGCGAGTGCCATATTCCTGCAGCAGGCTGATGGGCGTCTTCCCGGGGTTGGCGGCCAGCATCTGCTCCAGGCTGGGGACAGGGCTGTCACCAGCCCCAGCAGGGGTCAGAGGGGACCGGTGGGGACAGGGATTGAGGGGGAATGGGGTGGTGGGAGAGGCTGGCATGGCCATGGGGACGTGGGGACAGGGGTGGCATCGCCACGCAGCATGAGGATATGGGGACAGGGGTGGCAATGCCACACCACACGGGGATACAGGGACAGGGGTGGCATCACCACGCAGCATGAGGATATGGGGACGGGGTGGAGACACCACATAGCATGGGGACATGGGGACAGGGGTGTCACCAGCCCGAGCAGGGGTCAGAGGGGACCGATGCGGGTACGGATTGGGCGGAGCGGGGTGGTGGGAGAGGCTGGCATTGACGTGTAGCATGGGGACACAGGGACAGCGTGGCACTGAGACGTAGCGTGGGGACATGAGGATAGAGGTGGCACCGCCATGTGGCATGGGGGCACGGGGAAAGGGGTGGCATCACCACTCAGCGTGGGGACAGGGCTGGCATTGCCACACGGCATGGGGACATGGGGACAGGGGTGGCACCAACAAACAGCACAGGGACATAGGGACAGGGCTGGCACCAAAAAACAGCATGGGGACATGGGGACAGGGGTGGCACCACCACGTCGCATGGAGACATGGGGACAGGGGTGGCGCCAACAAACAGCACAGGGACATAGGGACAGGGCTGGCACCAAAAAACAGCATGGGGACAGGGGGACAGGGCTGGCATTGCCACACGGCATGGGGACATGGGGACAGGGCTGGCACCAAAAAACAGCATGGGGACATGGGGACAGGGCTGGCATCACCACGTCGCATGGGGACAGGGCTGGAGCCCCCACACGGCATGGGGACAGGGCTGGAGCTCCTCTGCTGCGTGGGGACAGTCACAGGGCACAGTCACAGGGGTGGCACCAACAGACAGTGTGGGGACACGGGGACAGGGGCGGCACTGCCATGTAGCATGGGGATGCGGCTGGCACTGCCACACAGCATGGGGATGTGGGGACAGGGCTGGAGCCCCCACACAGCATGGGGACAGGGGTGGCACCACCACGTCGCATGGGGACATGGGGACAGGGGTGGCACCAACAAACAGCACAGGGACATGGGGACAGGGCTGGAGCCCCCACACAGCACAGGGACATGGGGACAGGGGTGGCACTGCCGCACAGCACAGGGACATGGGGACAGGGGTGGCACTGCCGCACAGCACAGGGACATGGGGACAGGGGTGGCACTGCCGCACAGCACAGGGACATGGGGACAGGGGTGGCACTGCCGCACAGCACAGGGACATGGGGACAGGGGTGGCACCAACAAACAGCACGGGGACATGGGGATGGGGCTGGAGCCCCCACACAGCACGGGGACATGGGGACAGGGGTGGCAACAACAAACAGCACAGGGACACGGGGACAGGGGTGGCATCACCACATGGCATGGGGACATGGGGACAGGGCTGG